TTGGCACGAAGGTCTACTGGCGAAACTACCCATGTTCGAGTTCCCTCCAGCGCTCGTAGCGTGGATATCAAGTTTCCTCAGTAAGCGAACCATCTCCGTCCGAGTTGATGGGTTTTCTATCCCAGCCATTCCCTGTGAACGCTGGTGTTCCCCAAGGTTCAGTACTTGCGCCCACCCTCTTCCTTCTCTTTATCAATGATCTCCTTTACCAAACTACTAACCCGATCCATTCTTTTGCTGATGACGCCGCCCTCTACTGCTCTCTCTCCTACCGCACTGTTCCCCATGCCCAAACCAATATCGATGGTGACTGCAGCGCAGTTAATATGTCACTGGACTCCGATCTCGAACACATCTCCCCCTGGGGCCTTGCAAACCACGTTTCGTTCAAGTTCTAAAATATCTCTTCTTTCAATTTCTCTAAAACACTATTCGTTCTCCCCCATTTATGTTTTGATTCCACGCAACTGCGTTCCACAGACTGTTTCCCTTCTTGGGCTGCCTAGAACTTCTTTTTTATGCTGGTTCCCTTTTATAGCTAAGCTTGCTTCTCGTGCTGCGCGCAAGGTCGGATTTCTTTTGCGCGCCAGACGTTTTTTCAGCCCAGCTCATCTTCTTCTGTTGTACAAAGCTCAAATCCGCCCTGCTCTGGAACACTGTAGTCACATGTGGGGTGGGGCTTCGTCTTCTTCCCTTTCCCTTCTTGATCGTGTTTAACGAAAGGCCATCCGGCTAATCGATGATCCTTCCCTAACATCCAGTCTACAGTCGCCAGCTCATTGTCGGGCAGTTGCTTCGTTGTCCCTCTTCTACCGTTACTACTTTGGGTTTTGTTCTTCGGAACTTGCCTCGGCAGTTCCTCTCCCTGCAACATTTACCCGTCCATCTCGTACACAGGCATCTAGTCATCCTTGTCAGGTTTCTGTTCCCAGATGTCATACCTCTCTATTCCAATCCTCTTTTTTTCCCAGAACTGCCAAACTGTGGAATACCCTCCCCCTTTTTGTTTTCCCCCAACTTACAATCTTACACTTTTTAAACGCAGAATCAATAAACTGGACCTTACGTGAATGTTCCCTTGCTCCCCCCCCTACAGTATGCTATTTGTCTATGGGGATTTTCCCGTTTACTGTAATTCAATGTGTAATAAAAAAATACCTTTTCAAGCATTCCGGGCTGATCATAAATGACAACAATAAAGCCACTGCTGTCGACTGGCTGGCATATCTTTCTGTCTCCAATTAACCGGTAACAGAGTCCTCCAGATCAAAGCGGTCAAAGGGAATAAGGTGCGGAGCGGTAGACGATAGCTGTGTACGCGCAATAACCAGCGAAGTTAACCTGGATTCGATCAACTACCAAGTTCATTTCGGATAAACTTCCAAACACACAAATACTTACTTTCAGATTATCAACCTGTTCACTCCAACTCAAGTGAGTCAAGCAACGCAAGCACTGGTAATCGAAGACTTCTGGTCGATAGATATTTTCAACACGCAATTTGGGATCTCGCAATACCCAAAACAGAACTGAATAAGCGGTAGTAAAATATACACAACCTTTCGCTTTCGATGAAACATCGCATCTATGCTACAGGTGTCTGAGTCCTTTGTAAGCTGCTCCAGCCTTCGAACTGTGTACGGTTATCTTCTCTGCTGTGCTATCGTCTTTGGGAACGCAGTTACTGGAGTAAACAAAGCAATCTATTAGAATTAATTCGTGGATCTCTTGGAGTATGGGGTGAACAATCTCTGGCAAAATCTTACTCTTTCGGCATGTAAAGCAAGTTATCATAGACCCTTTGTGATTCGGGCACATACCTCTCTGTTAATCTGTTCCAATTCCGCCTCTGCTTCTGCCCGTGTGAGACCTGAGGAAATCTTGCGTAATTCTATAAGTCATAAAAATACAATAAAAACTTCTGAAAAGAATCTACCAGAATTGAGCGACTTAACCAGTTGTTGTTCCTCCTCTAACTGACGGTTCAAACAGTTGATTTCATCTTCCATCGATTTCAGCTCCTCCTCATTGAATGCCGGCAATCTGGACTATTGGTACAGATAAGCCGCAGCGAGCAGATATAGACGAAAGGTCAGGACTGAACCTACTTGATCAAAAACAAATACTTTTTGTTTGCCATAAAGTTTCTCTCTGAGTGATCCCTCCTCCACGAGCTCGTCGATTATTTTTGAGATAGCCTGATGGCAGATTCAGTTCAGAGTACTGAGAGATAAGAGTACCGTTTTGCCATGGGCTTTTAACGCATTGCACACATCAACCAAGCTGAACGGTCTATTTTCAGTTTCGAAGTACTGTAGAACATCATCTAGAAGGATCGAAATATCCACAACAAATATGGTACTTTTGCAATTTCCACTGGCCATCTACCAGAAGATATTCTGAAATAAAATGCAATAAAGAGTAAAGATGACGAAAACGAGAACTAGCTAGAATGATGTATTTTGCAACCTCGGATCGTTTGCATTTGAAGCAGCCATAGAAAATCCTACACACTAGCACCGACAGTAACCCGCATACAGGTTCGCAAGTTGCCACCGATTTATAAGATGCCTGTCAAGAGGTCAATTGAATCGTATCTCTATCTGCTTCTCCACCAGACCCGATATTAGCGAGTTTCAAGGAGTTGGAAAGAAGATAAACCAACGGGAGTCTCATGGAATACCATTTCCGGAGGGTATGCCTGTGACCGCGTGTCTGATTGCATACCTGTGTGGAAATATATAATCATCACCGGACGGCGAAATACAGTGAATTAATTTTCCCTGATCGCTGCCCAACTCGCAATGCATACAAAGTTAGTGAGAATACGAAAGGTGGTCATAAATTGAGCCTATTTTCTAGGAGAGGGGGAATTTAACTTCTGTGGTCAATACAAAGAGTACACAATCCAACTGCGAATACATATCTTTTCCAAAATTTTGGTCCGATAACAAATGACCACGAGAACACCACTACTGTCTGTTGACTGCCATATCCTTCCGTATCTCCTACCGAACAATTGCAGTCTTTTGGAGCCCAACCTAAAAGACTGCAGACACGTACTCTACCTAATCGCTCTTTTCATTCCCTCAGGCCTGGATGACTTCAGCGTGGTTTTTTATTTTAATTTTATTTCAGACACGTCTAACGCCAGACTGTGGGCCGAACAAATCATGGTACAATAATCTTTATGAAATTGAAAAACGTTCCATGAGTTACATGTGGGCTGAATACTGCCAGGTTACCCAGGCCAAGTAAGTGAATTATCTTGAGGAATCCACAACCGGAACCTTCAGCTAGCCGAATCCTGATCCGCAAGGAAGCGGGGCTGTGTTAGAACCGCAACTCACTGGGGGCCAGTGTCCAGTTCATTAGAGCATACGCCCTTCGGACGGGGTCAAACGTCGAAGATGCCCGATACACCTTGATGCCCAATCGAGCCGGTGACCACTGCCGCAACCAAGAAACAGCGTGTGGTTCGTATGCCTCTTCTTGGTTGGTCTGGAATCAGGGTTTTTGGCCAACTCCCCTAGGCGAACTACCAATGGTCCACCAACTCGATTATAGCCCCGGATATCAGCTTTTTGTCCTCTCACTTAAGTGGGAACACCTTCACAACGAGAAGGCA